TTAATACATACCATCAATATCTACAACCTATTGCCAACGCACTAGAAGCTGTTCGATGCCTCTCTTGTAGAACCTTGTTGAATGCTAATCGAAGAAAGATTGGATCATGACATCATGATGGTTGGAATGAGTTTTCTTGCCTAGAAAGTGGTCTCGAGAGAGAATCACGTGGCATTTGGTAGCACGAGGTTAGGGCTACCGAGAGTCCTAAAACCTTGAATCTGAATTTTCTTACCAATGTGTGGTTTAATAGTATCGTAAGAAAATTGTCCTTGTCATGCATTTCTTTCTTTGCTAGAAGCGTTGAAATTTAGCCGAAGAGAGTTGACTTCCGCATTCATTGTGACATTTGCATGTAGGGGTTTCTAGAACTCAACTCCTCTCGTATTCCACCATAAATCCGGGGCCTGACTTAGACAAGGTTGCACTTACAAGGAAGGTCGTTCAGGGTGTGCCAAGCTTTTTCAAAACGGTCTTTTGCATGATATAGGGGCACATGCGGGAACCACAGAACCATGGTTAATTTTTCCTGAACGGCCCTCTGAATACCAGAAAAGGGGGTCCCTAGTCACACCTTTTTCACCAGTTTTTCAATCAAAGTCTATTTGTAAGGGTTACTGACGGTCCTAATCATGAATAGCTGGAGCTCCTCTTCAATTTATCGTATATGAGATCCGAAGTTCCATCTCGGTGGAGGCATTCCTTCGTTGTGCCCATACCCAAAAAACCTCCTTTCAGTGATCCTTCCAATTATCGTCCAATAAGTATCACCTCTATTTTTTCCAGACTTTTTGAGAAAATAGTCAAATCAAAGCTGACAACATTTCTTATGCGTAATAACATTATTCCTCCATGTCAGCACGGTTTTTGTACTGGTAAATCCACGGTAACTGCACTTCTTAGTTCCCTTAACGACTGGTCTAGAGCCCTTGACACTCGTAAACAAGTTCATGTTGTATACTTTGATTTTGCAAAAGCATTTGATAGAGTACCGTTCTCGAAACTCATCAAGAAGCTAGAGGCTATAGGGGTGTACCCACTTCTGATTAGCTGGATCAAATCTTTCCTATCTGGACGCACATATCAAGTTCGTGTTGGAGACAAACTCTCATCTGTACATAAGGTTCCCAGTGGTGTTCCTCAGGGTGGAGTATTGTCCCCCATACTTTTCTTATTTATACCGCGGATCTTCCCAGTTCTTTGGCAAGATTTCAAGTATCATCTGTAATGTATGCCGATGATATCAAACTGTACAAAGTTGTTGAAAGTAAATCTGATTGTGACAAGCTACAAGCAGCTATTGATCATATTGTGGATTGGTCTGAGAAATGGAATTTACCTTTGGCTCCAGAAAAAACTAAGCTATTCTGCATCGGTAATGATGTTATCACCTATAGCTACAAAATTGGTTCATTTCACTTGAAGTCTGTTAATGAAATTAAAGACCTTGGTTTTACGTTCTCTAATAAATTGAAGCTTTGACGCACACTACAAGTCACTGGTTACTAAAGCAAACAGTAGAGTTTTCAATTTATTCAAAGCGCTCCAGACGAAAGATCCAACAGTATTACTGAAAGCTTATATAAGCCTACTTGAGACCAATAGTTGAATCTGGTACTTGCTGTTTTCTCCCCCTATAAGAAAAAGGATATTGCAGAATAACTTCACTCGAAAGCTTACCCTTCGTTGCTCTAGAATCAGTTATGAATCTTTACCAAGTCAATGATCTCATGATGGCTATCAAAATTCTGAGTAGAAAAGTAGCTTTGAATCCCATAGACTTTTCCACTTTGGTGCGATCTAGGACTAGGGGTAGTACCATAAAAATAAGACGCCCTGTAGTGAGATCTCAGGTCAGAGCGAAGTTTTTCACAATCAGAGTTCTACCTTTCCTAAATAAAATATTCAACCCGGAAATGCTACACTTATCCCTTGGTTCGTTTCGTAAAAGAGCCATAATGTTGATCAATGCGGAAATTTCTTGAAACAGTATAAGACATGATGATTGATTAGCTGATTTGCTCCTTTTTGCTTTGTCATAGTGTACCCATCCCATTTCATTACAATATTGTACCTATGTTCAATGATTCCTCTCTCGGTTTGTTCTCCCATTGTAATCTACTTTGATTATGGTTACACGCAGATATTCTGCGTCTATTGAATAAATAAATAAATAAATAAATGAGATCATGGTACTAATTATTCATGCTAACTCCATTTTGCACGAATTTTGAACTTGTTTATTTGTTTGGCACACTGAACACTCTCTTCATTGTGGGCAATTGTGATGGATGTCAGTCAAAGAAACCGTAGTTAAGTTGAGCTAAACACAACGATGTCAGATCGTGTTTGGAGCTGATTCGGGCTCAAGGCATGTGTGATCCAAACTCTATATTTTCGGATCTTTGCAAGTCTTTAAGATGTCACAGTGCTGTCTCCTTGTCGCATCAGAATTGCTCTAGCAAATGATCGATAGTCTATCCAGATCCCTTTTCAACAGCGCCAGGTACAGTATCGTGATTGCCAGCCACGGGGTGGTCGGAATATGCACCCCCCTCGAATCAAAAATCAAAGGCCCGAAAAGCTTTCGGCGAAATCGGTGTAATATCCATAACAAGTAGCGAGACAGCGAGCTGGCCGGTTGGCTGAAATTGCAAAGGTGGATGCTACGTCAACAAACATGTTGCGGAATTTTCGGAGTTCTCAATAAAAAATTCTAGCATTCAATGTAATTCGAAGCAAGACCTATGGACCAACCTAGTATTTGGGCAAGAACAAGTATTTGACCCTAATCAGATCGATTCAGTGCAACGGCGTAGAGAATACAGTGATGGAATTTTTCAGTTTTATTGAAATTTTTGTCAACCAGACTGCGAGCAGATTTCTAACAATGAGTCAGAAATTCAAATTCAAAAAGGGTTCATAAAGACTTCAGCCAAACACATACAATTTTCAATAGCTTTCAATAAGAGAAAACAGCTTGAATGACGTGATGGTGAAGGTATGTTATAGAGTTGTACAGATTAATTTCATAACGCAACAGCTTCATTTATTTCTTAGTAACACTGATGAATCATCGAAACATGTTAACAGTTAAAGCTGAGAGATGCACACATGGAGGAGAAGTACTCGTTTTCGGTGAAGACAAGTTGAGAATTAGAAGATCTGAATACGGTGATTCTCTCGATCACTGGCGACGATGCCTCCGTCGAACACGCAGAGCGCTTCAACGCCCTTCAGCTGACCGGCGCCTCCACCCCACGAGCCAAACGTGCAGATAAATTCACCGTCCGACGAGAACACCTGCAACTAACGATTTTGAACCATCTTTTGAGCGAACGGTGATTAAGTGAAACAGGAGCTCCCGATTGCGGACACGTACAAGTCAGGTTAAAGGCAAGGAATTAGAATAAACTAGATGTGGTGATCGCACTCAAATAGGAAAGCAGGGATGCTAAATGGACTGCAGCTAAAGAAAAAGGGAAAGAAAATAGTCCAATACATGAAATGCGAGCCTTCTCTGCACGCTGCGGAGAATCTAACCAGGGAAGTCTTCAAGAAATGAAGCTCTTTTTCAAAAAAGTTTTTTAGGTTTTGTAAAGACACGGGCAGGGAGCATAAAACTGGGAATAATTTTCTCTGAGCGGTTTTGTGAATGCTGAAAAACACGTCAAAATCAATGGCTTTGGTTCGATTCCCACTGAGGACAAAATTTGCAATCTCTGAATTTCCACTTCTCAGGCCCTAATATGGGTCGGCAAACCTATTCCAGTGAGGGAAAAGCTCCCAAAATGCAACTACTCAACGTTACAAATGCCGTAGAGCTATTAAAAATGGAAAAGTATCCCTTCTCAAGGAAAAATTTTTGCCCATTTTTAAGCAATACCAGAGCCGCTCAAAAAATGAATATTAGGTTTATGCTGTCCACGCACACGACCCGCACAAACATTTCAATCAAACCGCCCTGAGAAGGAGGCTCCGGCACTATTTACCCTTTACTGCCCCACTCCTCGAGAACTGAGCCGGGTTTTTATCGAAATTTGTCCATGACTGTGGATTTGGCTAGAAACTTGCCTTCGGGAGGTAATTTGACCCGTAGAACACGAATATCACATTGTTCACCGCTAGAACGCCTGGCGCTCGCGCCAGAAGCGCCGGCGCCAAAAGGCGCCAGAACATCTCGGATCACAAATTCGCTGGAAACTTGTCTTCAGAGGTACTTTGACCCGTGAACATGAATATCACATTAGTTCGTTGCGAGTGAGCCTGTAGCCTGCGCTACGGGCGCCCGTGCAAAATTGTTGTGGTAGCGCCGGCGCCTGTTAGCGCGGGCGCTAAGCGTTGTCGCTCTAAACCTGTCGTGATGTTCGTGTTCTACGGGTATGAAATACCCCCCGGAAACAACTTTCTAGCCAAATCCTTAGTCATGGACGAATTTCGATCAAAATCCGGCTTAGTTCTTGAGGAGTGGGCAGTAAAGGGTAAATAGGCCGGCGCTCCATAATCCTGGAAGACTTTCCTGGTAAAGGTGGCAGGGAAATGATAGATAATATGAGTGGAGGAGAGCGCAAAGAAGTCCGAGTAGAGGGAGCATTGCAGATCGGCAACGCGACACGATAATATCAAAGACGGTAAGACGGAGCTGCTGATAAATCTATTAATTTATAATTTTCCTCGAGCATAAGTCAGGTTCTCTCAGCTGACAGCAGTTTCGATAATGCGAAAGTAGGCGAACAGTCTGTAGTGCGGACTACCACACCCCACCCACAGGAACGACTACTTCAGTAAGGCTGAGCCCGGATCATGCCTTTAATGCTTGTGGCGTCGTGATAAGTGCTTTTGCTTATACTCCTAGCGCATGGTAGGGCACATGTCAGCAGTATCAGTGCCACCCTCAGGATCTCCTTACCCACACTAATAACAAAGCAAAGCACTGCACCTGGATTCGATTGTTCCCTGAGTCAGCAACCAGGATATTGCTCTGAAACGATCAAGCGATAGTACAAGATATCAGAAGCTGAAAAAACCACATACCTGTGAATCCACTGCAACACCGCGAGGAAATTTAAACTGTCCACCATGGAACCCTTCGGTTCCGAACGAGAACAAGAACATTCCTTGGACATCAAACACACAAATCCGATGATTTGACGAATCAGAGACGTAGACCTGGATTACATTGCTTGAAGCCCGTCCCCACTGCTTGCACAACACCATGCAGGAATGAGTAAAGAGTCATGGAGTTTGGAAAATGGAAATTGGACAACGGAACAGAGGTTAGATATACCAGAGAAAGGAATGGTAAAGTTGTCTCCCATGCACCTTTAATTTTTTGAAATCAGATATAGAAAGTCGAAGTCCGGAAGTCCAAGGGACCAATAGAATGTGCAACTAATCTAGCAGTTCTTTCGAAGACCACCTCCTTACCTGATGGTTAGCATTATTCACAGCAATAAATAACGGATTGTGCAATTGCCCTGGTCCGTGTCCATTCGTGCCGAATTTTCCCACAAACAGTCCATTTTTGTCAAACATTTGCACCCGATGGTTATCCTTAACAAGAGTCATTGATGAAAGTCTCGATCAATCTGATCGAGATCCTACCTTGTCGGCGACGTAGATCGTCCCCAGTTCGTCGACGGCCACGCCCCATGGATTGTTAAATTTCCCATTGGACTGTCCGTGACCACCGAACGAGTTCAAGTACGTCCCATCATTGTCGAAGATGCAAACCCGATGATTGTATCGGTCGGATACAATCAGCTTATTTTTGAAAGTGGCGATACCAGCTGCCGAGTCAAGTTGGCCACGTCCGGAGCCATAGCCGCCAAACTGCCGCAAAAACTTGCCTTCACGGTCAAACACACAAACCCGGTGGTTGCTCGAATCGCATACGGCCAAAGTCCCACCTCGAAGGGCACAAACTCCTCTGGGCCAATTCAGCTCGCCTTCTTTAGCACCCTTGCGACCAAAGATCACGCGAGGGCAACCGCGCGATCTCCACTCACTGATTTCCCGTGACGCACTGCGACGACGAATGTTTCTTCGTTCTTCTTCGGTGCTCGTCGAGCTATCTAAACGGGAATCTCTCTCTTGAAGTAACTGCTGTACACGTTGTGAGCAGAATTGAGACGCAAGGTCTGGGTTAGTTCGAGAGCGCTGAAAGCGTTGACGTCTTCGGGCGAGCCAAGCGGGTATCTCAGGCTCACCTGTGAAATGTGTGACTGGAATCGGCACACCTGGAGGTACACTGGCGGCTGTAGCTATTGGTTCCTCTTCGCGGGTGGTACTTGCGGCACGACATACGATTCGGATGCGTTGCTTAGGCCGGAGAAGCCTCTTCGGCCTCAGACTCGTCGCTAGAAGCGGCTCGAGATGCAGCTTGACGTTCTGCATGCGCCCTTCGAATCACGTCCACCTTCTCATTGAGCGATTCGTCATTGCTCGACGCCTGTCTGGGCAGTGGCGGCCTTCTCGCTGCGATTCGGGCCTCTTCCGTCTCTTCCTTCGCCGGCTCAGCTGCTCTTATCAGTGGAGCAGGACTCGGTGGCGGCTTCGGAGATCTCGGAGCGGGACTTTCATCAGCTCGAGGTTGCACTGCACGCTCTGGTCTTGGAACATTCAAGGGAATGGGTTTCGCAGCCTGCTTACGCTCCACTTGCCGTACAGGAGGTGCCTGCAAGTCATAGGAACATTGGTACTAGTGGTCTATGGTAACGAACATGTCGGTAATAGTTATTTTACCTCCTTCTTAGGAGCGGGTGCAGGAGTATCAGGTACCGGAGTGGCATTGAGCGACGACGCTTCAGGAGGTCTTGACCAGGGACTTCGGGCGACCAGTGAGCCTTCACGGTCAGCGGGAGTAGCTGATGATGTACCGTTTCGATCGCTTCGGTCCATAGCTGCACTGGTACCACGCAAACGATTCCATGCCTCCTCTTCCAACTGCTGACGACGACGATATCGAATGGAGCCCTCGTCCAAATCTCGAATACTAAAAGCATTTGTGTTAATCTGTTGATAACCAGTTTGATAGGCTACGATTCTATTTTCTATTCTACGGAGGAAGATACCGTTTTGAGTCGTTTGTGATGATTCCGCTTGAATTATACTGCCTCGAACTAAAAGTAACACTTTGCTATAGTATGTTATCGATTTCCACTTTAACCCGGGTATAATCTTTGCTCAGATTGACACATTAACGGTGACAAACATTCGCGGGACAATTTTTGTAACAGCTGACTCTCATGCGTCGTTGGATGTAATCAGTAGGCTTTCAAGTATATCTGAAACACTGAAAAGACTATATGTGTCGCGTAACTCAAAAATGGTTGAACGATGCTACCCGCCTAATCCCTTCACTATTTGAATACATTTGAACCTGTAAAATCCGATTATTAGTTACTGGAAGGCCTTAAGGAGGTTATGGAACAGGGTAGCCGAAATTTCCCGAAAGAAGCATTTATACCTGGCGAACGTAACAACGTTTGCCGAGGTAAGCAAACCAGCCCTTTTGGCGTTTCTGCTGGGGCCGTATGCTGAATGTTGGGGAGGGGATGGGGTCCCCGACGGTCGACGGACTACTTCAACTCGGTCCTTAAAACCGCCTCAATTTGATGCTTACCTCAGGACCTAAAGAGAGGACGGGACCTGCGAGAGAGCGCAGGTCCGTCCTCTCTCCAAGGCTTAGTCCTGGGGTAAGCAAACCAGCCCTTTTGGCGGAGCTGCTGGACCTAGCTGCACCACTTCGTCATCACTCTCCTACCGTACCGACCGAGTTCAAGTAGTCCGTCGACACTCATCCCAGCAGAAACTTACTTCAGGCGAATGAGAACCACAAGTTTTGGAAGATTAACTGTCACATCTGGTATTAAGCGAGAGCACACCATTTGCGGGAAGGTGTGGAATCCCTGATACATCGCAATTATTTCAAGCGAAAACGCCTGTCGTGTGCGGGTTACGGGCGCCATGAACACTTATGTAGGAAACGTTCACGAAGTGGCGATATCCGGAGTTTTTCTGGCCATTTTGCTAAAATAAGGAGTGGGTTATCTCTCTTGGATTTTAACTTCGTATACTACCTCTTTCATGTTATACTTTTCACGTGACAGCTAGTTCGAGAATTAGCCCCACAGATTTCAGAGGCAGATTTAAGCTCTCTTCAAGACGGACACAATGATGATCCTTATTGAAAACATTTACCATGACTGTTATTATTGAGAACGCCACTGACCTATATACCTTTGCCCGTGAAAGCTCACGAATCATCGTCCTCCTGAAATGCGATCAACTGTGCCATCGGCTTTGCAAGGCTGTAAGGCTGCGCGCGGATAGAAATCAATCTCTTTCATGACATTTGCCAGTACAAATGACCGACACTATCGTTTGCTGCTATGCACTGACGTCAGTACGAAAAGGCCCTGCCATTGAGTTTCCGATACGAATCCATTAATCGGAAGCCACGCTTGTTGCTGTTGTAAAACAAGCAGTCATTAAATCAGAACGATCCAAAAACCTATAAATTCACTTGCTGGCACGAAGTACAGCTATGTGGGCTAGATTCATGGTAAAAATGGCTCATCATATGTGTATCTTATGATATCAGCAGTTGACACATTCACGCCGGTGGCAGCCCATGCGGGCTGCCAGCTAATAATCACCTACCACTCCTTTTCATCGACATTTTTTTTGATATTCTTTGATATCGGCAAAATAATAGGGTCTGATTCATAGCTATTGATGATGTGATTCACAGAAATGCTTGATACACTATAGAGGAGGTTTTCCGAACCATACAAATTTTGGTTCGGTTCATTCCTCTTTTTCTTTTTACTGCCATGAACGCGTAAATTAAAAGCGTCTAGAACTAAAAACAAAATTCGAATTATGGAAATATACACGCTTTTACTGGGACAGTTGTGGCAAGAATGCTCTTGATGATGTCCAGTATAACAAGCTGCATGTTTTTTAGAGGAAAATCACGGTAGTGCACGAAATATGTTGAAATGGTTCCCCCTAAAATGCTTTTTTTTACTCCGAACTCGTCATCTCACATCCCATTTTGCTTTGCCTAACATCGATCAGTTCAAAAGGCCATCTTCTTCCCTTACATCTAGTACTTTTCGTTATCTTTTATGCCTTGGAGGCATATAATCGTAAGCGTTTTTCTGTACCGAGGCGTGTAAATTCAACCAGTGCAAGTTGCCAAAAACCGCGTAACCGTTTAAAAGTACTTTTTTTGATCTACAACACCATGTTTGCTGTTTTCTAAAAATTATAAATGTGGTCAGATTGCTTAGAAGTTGGAAAATCCGACAGAAAAAATCGGCGCTTTGACAGGTGCTATTCTTCATTTTACATAAAGGACAAGAAACGCCAAAAGCCTTTAGAATACATAGTTCCTATCGAACCTTGCGCTAATCGATCCTACTTTCAACGAGTAAATTGAAGCCATATTTACGTCGTACAAATTGATCAATGAAGACTTCGAGAACAAGCTCATCATCTTTTTTTTTGAATCAGTGTTTTCCTAGAGAAAGCAACTGGGTCGTAAATATATGACAGAGTAAAGATCACTGACTAATTTTATGTTTTTTTTTGTTTTGCTAAAAACTTGTGTGCGAAAATGAAAAATGCAGCGCTACGATATTATGCTACAACCCAATTAATCGCATATACCCAGGACATTGATTCGACATTGTAGCTTTTGTTCCCTTCCTCCCACGCACGAGGCGAGCAGAAATTGGTTAGCCGAGGCTCGGAACTGTGGGCTTTCACGTGAGAAATTCGGGACGTGTTAAAACTGAGAGTGGTGTGCCTTGGAGGCAAAAAAGATGAACACCTGACAGCTAGCACTTTTAGGTATCTTCCGCTGGAGCAGTCGTACCTGCCCCGTCCTTCCGTCTGACACTCGAAAGCGATCAGCATCGTACACGTCATGGTCACGAGGATTCGCGTGCGAATGACCGCGATCGTCCCTCATCCAGGCTCACGTGAGTAGCCCACACATCTCTCATTGAATTTCACAGGCTATTGTCCGAGGGAGACGTACTGATGTAAAATCGAACGGGC